GGTCACACTTTGTCCAACCACAGGGCTCTGCCACTTGGAGGAGTTAATTGGCTTTTGGAAAAGAGCATCTTGGTTTAGTGGGGTCTTCCTGTTCTCATAAAATCTAAGTACTAACTCAGGTTGCAAAGCTTGACACCAAATGAAGGGGACATTTAGATTAAGAAAAAAAGTTGAGAAAGACAAATAGTAATAGAAACTGTTAGGCACAGACTAAGAGACTTATGTACATATAAGACAAATGAGAGATTCTGTTTTGAAAGCAAAGGAAATTTTGGCGTCACTTGACTAACACAAAAGAAAACAGTTTGACAAGCATGTATTGAGTGCCACCTGTATACCAAGCCCTGTGCTAAAAGTTAGAGATATGAATTAGTCATAGTCTCTGTCCTTGAAAAGTGTGTAAACTGGTAGAAGAAATATATTCTAGACATGGTTTCAACTAAATGTAGTCAATTCCGTGATAGCAAACAGAGAATGTTACAGAAACATGAAGTCTGGGTTGATCAGGGAAAGATTCAAAGAAGAGATTACATGTGAAGAATGATTAAAAATAAAAAAGAGCAGCATAATCCAGAAAGGAAGTATGAAAATGATGTGGAATTCTTGGGAAGCTAAGAGGAGTCTGGCTGCTGGAACATGTGGGAGGAAAGTAGCTGGAAACGACAGTGGAGAGACAGATGGTCACAGGAAGCCGCAGAACCCTCCCTTGTGTGCCTCGGTGAGGACCTGGAACTTCATTCCTAGGGGAGTAGGGGCCATGGAAGGGTTTTAATTGGAGACAGAAGATGATCTGATTGGCCTGCTAGAAAAACCACCCTGATGGCCATGTGGAAGGACGGGAGAGCAGTAAGACCAAAGGCAAGAGACCAGTTAGGAGCGTTGCGCTGATCACGTTCATGAGTCTAGACATGACCCTGACCCTCACAGAGAAGCATGAAACTAATGCAAGTGGTTCACCTGTTAGTTGCTTTTAATGTTCAAAGAAGGCATATTTGTGCTCAGAGAGGACTATTTACAGTTGCTCACCTTTAATTAATTCGATATACATATTAATGATTTTGAAACCAAATACCTGTACCTAGTTTTGCCCTAAAGGTTTTAGGTTCTACTTACACATCTTTTTATTCTATTTGTGAATCCCTAACCATCTTTGTATAAGAATAGAAAACACTTTGCCAGTTGTTCTTTGTCCACTTAACTCATAAATATAATATTAAATTGCCCTGACCAAACATAATTAATTAAATTCTCTTAAATGCCTGAACCTATATAAAAATTTAGTATATCTCAGTCTTTAGAACACTCCAGATGACTGACAGAGCAGCCTTGCAAGGACTGAAAAGTGCTTTCTACACTTTCTAATCATGTAACTAAATCTTCTTAAGCACTATACTTATTATCATTGAAAATCTTAGAATTTAAAATTATTAATATAGTAAATCAAGTTATCTTATGCATTCGAATGCAATTTGCAATCAAACGTTGTTGTGGTTTTCAAATTAAAACTGTAAGTGTAATGTCAAATAAGCATTTAAGTTGAAGTCACAAGACTAATTGTCAGATTATTTACTACGTCTTCACTATGATCTTTACTATGTCCCAAATATCTTCTTAAAGGTTTCAAACATGTAGGAATAAACACATTGATTATCCCAAGATTACATATCTTCTCCATGAATTTAACAAAGAAGTACTGATGCTGGGCTAGTTTGCTAGAGATACCGAACAAAGTTTCACAAGCTCAGTGGCTTAAACAACAGAAATTTATTGTTCCCAAAGCAGAGTCTGAAGTCTGAGGTCAGGATGCGGCAGCGTTTGTTCCCTCTGAGGGCTGTTGGGAAAATCTGCTCTATGCTTCTCTCCTGGCTTCTGGTGTTTCCCTGGCAATCGTTGGTGATCTTTGCACTGCAGACCCACCACGCCAATCTCTGCCTCCATTCATCTGCGCGTGGGGTTCTCCCTGCGTGTGTCTGTCACTTCACATGGTGTTCTTTTAAAAGGACACCAGGATATTGGAGTAGGGGCCCATCCTACTCCAGTATGACCTCATGTCAACCTAACTATTTATATCTGCAATGACCCTGTGTCCCAGTAAGATCACATTGCGAGTACTGGGGTTTAGGAATTCAACATACCAATTTTGGGGTGGACACAATTTAACCCACAACTGATACTATAGACTTAGTTTGCGTCAACACCTCTATTCTTATTTGAACTGTGACCTAAGGTTGTGAGCTGAGACTGAAAGTTCTGGCCCATTATTTGGGACAGAGAATTTTGAGACTTTGTCAAGGATCTAGATTGTGCATATTTCTAGGACAGGGTTTCTCAAACTCAGCACTGTTTATATTTGGGGCCAGATAATTCTTTGCTGTGGGGTTTCTCCTGTGCAGTGTAGAATATTGAGCAAAATCCTTGACCTCTGCCCACTAGGTGCCAGTAGCAACCCAGCCCCATTTGTGACAACCAAAAACATCCCCAGATATTGCCAGATGTCCCCTGGGGAGAGACTCGCCCCCACCAACAGTTGAGAATCACTGATTTAGGGTAATTTAATCCAAGCTACATATCTGGATGTATTCCCTAGCTATGTTTTCTCACCCCTGTCGGTGGGGAAATCAAAGCTGTACCTTTCAGCTGGTATTTAGTTGCGTAACCCAGTGTATCACATATTCCCCTGGCCATCTTCCAGGTGTTACTCCTACCCAATTTCTTTTTTTTTTTTTTTGAGACAGAGTTTCACTTTGTCGCCGAGGCTACAGTGAGTGCCATGGCGTCAGCCTAGCTCACAGCAACCTCAAACTCCTTGGCTCAAGCAATCCTGCTGCCTCAGCCTCCCAAGTAGCTGGGACTACAGGCATGCGCCACCATGCCTGGCTAATTTTTTCTATATAATTAGTTGGCCAATTGATTTCTTTTTATTTGTAGTAGAGACAGGGTCTCGCTCTTGCTCAGGCTGGTTTCGAACTCCTGACCTCGAGCAATCCGCCTGCCTCGGCCTCCCAGAGTGCTAGGATTACAGGCGTGAGCCACCGCGCCCGGCCACTCCTACCCAATTTCCATCATAACCTCTTTGAACAATTTTTATGCATATTTGGGTAGGTAGGATTTGGCACGGCAACCCTGGCTAAACCTCTTTACTATTTAATTGGATCTAATCAGTCCCTTATACTTGATGATGGAATTTTGCATAGTCTTTCACATTTCCAAGTTCATTGGCCATAGTTTTATGCACCTTATGTTGCTAACATCCATATCAAGAAAAATATATATTTAAATTAAATTAGACATAAAATAGAACCAAAGCCATCAGCCACTACCACACTTTGGATTTACCAAATCCCCTTAAGAATCTGTACAAAAATTTACATTTATCTCATTTAAAAAGTGCCACAGTTGAAGCCCAATAAGTTGTATTCTTATTTTTGGTATTGTCTTTAGGCTGGTATTGTGTTATAACACGTTGGGAAATAACCATGTCTTGCATTATGTATTGTTTTATTTGTTTGAGGATATGTTTCCTATAGTTTATATTTTTTAAAAAAATTAATAGTGTTATTTTCTGTTTATTACACAAGTGGAACATTTCTATTAGATTGTGAGTGTTAGCTAGGCGTGTTGGCTCACGTCTGTAATCCCACGTCTGTAATCCCAGCACTTTAGGAAGCTGAGGTGGGAGGATCGCTTGAGAACAGGAGTTCAAGACTAGCCTGGGCAACATAGTGAGATTCTATCTCTAAAAATAAAAAAATAAAATAAAGATTGTGAGTGTGGGAGGCTCAGGGAGGGGTATGTTCTATTTTAGTTTCTGAGCAAGTTACACACTGAGTGTTGACAAAGCCTTCAAGGAGTGAGGTGCTTTGTGTTATAGCTTTATGTTCCACATCCCAAACAAAATCACCTGTAAAGAAATTATTGGAATACTATGTTTTATAAATCAGATACATCCTAATATTTATAAAGAGCCACAGGATGATGTATCAATCTGTTTTCCTTGAACTTCTCACCATGGTGGTTTTCATGGTCTACTGTGAAAAGCACACTTATGCACTCATCACACAAACCTGTAGTCATCGCCTGCTACGTGGTAGCAACAGGCTCGATACTTAATGGAATCTATGAACCAACCGGCTATGCAGACACATTCTCAGGGTCTTCAAGTCCTGCAACAGAGATGTTACTTTTTACATAAAATTTTGTAAACAAAGAGGTATCATTATACACCTATTAGAAGAGCCAAAATTAAGAGGGGTGAGGATGTGGAGCAACAGGAACTCTCATTCCCTGCTGGTGGGAATGCAAATGCTATGGCCACTTTGGGAGACAGTTTGGCAATTTCCTACACAAAAAAACATACTCTTGAGGTACAATTGAGCAGTCACATTTCTTGGTATCTACCCAAATAGAAAACTACATCCCCACAAAAACCTACACATGGATATTTATAGCAACTTTATTCATAATTGCCAAAACTTGGAAGCAGCTGAGATGTCCTTCAGCCAGTGAATTGATAAAGAAATTGTTAGGATATCTTAACTCTCGTTTATCCACACGTACAGCCTCACTTTTAAGATGGCCTCAAGGAAAATGTACATATGGTAACCACCACACTAAGTTCTGAAGTTAAATTTCACATGTATCTATGGCCTAATGAGATGTGTCTACTTCCACAGAAGAGAGCTCATTTCTATGTTTTATTCATATTTGCATTCCTAAAATAAGTTTAAGCACTTACTGGGTATAAGGCACTGTGCTTACCTCTGAGGTTAAGATAATGAATGAGGCTGAGCCTACTTGGATCTCTTAGTCTGACATCTCTGAAGTTAAGATAATGAATGAGGCTGAGCCTACTTGGATCTCTTAGTCTGACATCGTGGTCTCTGGGATGACCTTCTCATGCGGGAGCTTAAGCTTTCTTCCCTGGTCTGCCCCCAGCTATGGTCACTGCCTTGCTATACTCAAGGGGAGAATGATGCTAATGTTTCTATGATGTGTTTCAGCAACTTGGAAGTATATACAGTATACTCGCTGCAATCTTGAATGTTGGAAATATTGAATTTTCTTCTGTGGCAACTGAACACCAGATTGACAAGAGCCACATTTCTAATCACGCAGCTCTGGAAAACTGTGAGTTTTATTATCTTCCATTCAAAACTGAACTTTTTCAAAGTCTTATGACATACCATAAGTGTCGCATAAGGGTAATTTCAAACAAATGTACTTATACAACATCCTTAAAAGAATATTCAGATTCAATTTGTATAAAATGAAATTTTTTAAGTTCACTATTTAAAAGCAGATCTTCCTGCCTACAAGTTAACTGATTACTGTAGAAAACATTTCTAAAAACTAGGCTTTTTGACTACTTTAGGAGCTATTTACATTTGATATAAAATCACAGATAATATAATTAATATTTAGTAAACTGATCTGAAAATATTTTTAAATTGTTATCTTTTAGATTTAGCATCTGTGTCATTTTTAAAGTAATAAAGACCTGTATGTTTTCATATTGGATGGACTTTTGCACATCCCTTCTTCCTGGGTGGATTAATTTTGTAGTCATTTTCTACATTAGAGAAGGACATCATGGTATTCTCTTCAAATCAAGTTTTTTCTTAATAGTAGAGTTTGATGAATTATTTCAATAACTTACGATTTTCTACTGATATCTTCCAATGGCATAGCTTTTCACTGTTTAGAGTATATCCTATTCTTTTATTTTTAATCCTGGCATATGCCCCCATTAGTCCTGATTTGTTGTAAGTTTCATCCATAACCTAGAGAATTATAATATAAAATTGTATTTATATATTCCTGCTGATTTATACCTACTCAGGAATAGAATGAGATGTTTTAGGGTAATTTCAGAGGGCAAATGCCAAACCATCCTGGTCTGGGCCTGTCCCCATGATCCCTATCATCTCTGTCCCAGAGAGTCCCTGGAACCAGTATGGCAAAACAGCAGAACAAGTGTCTGAGGTTGACATGTAGCCATTGGCATGTATCTGGAAACCTCAAGGAAGCCTGTTCTAATTTTCCATATATAAAGAAAATTGTATTGGCACTCAAGATATGAGGTTATTAGAAATGGAAGGAATAACTAGACAATACCATTGATTAAATTCAAATCTCATCATCTGATCATAATTAGAAGAGTTAGCAGCAGCCAACAGAATGAGTTACAATTAGAGATACTTTATAGATAAGAATATACTTAGAAACAACCAAACTAAAAAATCATTTTGATGATTGAGAACCTATTTCTACATAATATCAGACAGTCATATAGGTTATGAAAAGTTAATATGGATATAATAAAATTAATTAAATTATTTTCTGGAATAGCCCTGCATGGAAAGTAGAAATTTTATTAATATTGGTGATTTATAATTAAAGTTATAAAGGAATCATCTCCAAACCAAGACTGCATTTCAGATGGTTTTCCAAGTGTATTGTTTCAAGCCGGTGCCAGTTCTATTCATTTTACCCCATAAATAGCTCTAAAATCTGACCTCTGCTCTGTATCACCATCATCACCATTCTCATCAAAGACAGCATCACCTCTTACCTGAACTAACTGACCTTCCAATTGTTCATTCCACATCGAGAATTGGTCATTTTCCTACAATTCATTCAGAAATTACATAAGGCATGTATCAGGGAACTCTCTCAATCTCCCCCTCCCATCCTCTCCCTCCCTCTCCTCCTCTTACTCCTTCCATTCCTCCTCCTCCCTCTCTCTTCCCACTTAAATTTCTCAATTAGCTTTCCATTCCTTCTAGATAAAGTCCATCAAGGCTTTTATCCAGAGGCTAGAACTATCCAAGTCTAGAACTTTATTTTACAAAGTATTGTACTTAGCAATATGTACCCAGGTAAAATACCTGGCATATAGTAGACACTCCGTAATATATTAATATATCAAATGAACAATGTGGGACTAGAAATAGACATACAGATCAGTGGGAGACACTGTTCAGAAACAGATCCAAGAAAAATTACTAGCACCAGCATTACAAATCTCTAGGGAATCAGTATTGTTGGGACAACCCAGTGGCTAACCATTTGGGGAATGGAGAATCTGAATCCTTCTCATAGACCGTAAACCAAAATGAATTCTAAGCATATATAAATTTAAATGCAAAACATTATAAAAGTGCTAGGTTGAAATGCATTTATACTCCTGAGCTGAGAAAGGACTCGAAGAGTTTATGTGTAGAAAACCAAAAGCAGAAATAGTTTTCTTAAAAAATGGATATTTGACCATAAGCATTTAAAAATCAAAACTCTTTCTTACCAAAAAGAAAAAATATAAATGAAATTTAAATGCAAATTAAAACCGAGGGAAAATATTTGCAACATACATATCAAAGCATTACTCTCTCTAAGCTATAAAGAGCTCATCTAAAGTTCTTAGGAAATGATGAACATAATATCAATGAAAAAATTACAGTTTACAAAATAAGAACCACAAATCACCAATAAAAATATGAAAGGAAAAATGTCCAGCTTCAGAGGAACCAATTAAAAACAAATAGAAAGAAGATATTTTATTTCTATCAAATTGGCCAGTTTTAAAATGATAATCCCTAATGTCCATGAAATTGTATTGAAATTATTAGTTTGTCACTTGGCTGATAGGAGTGTAATTGGTTCAGAGTTTTTGAAGACCAGTTAAATAATATATATCAAAAACCTTAAACATGTTTATATACATTGTATCAATTGCTGAATTTAAGCAAGCTATGCTAAGAAAATAATATAAAATATGAACACAGATTTATACCTAAAATATTTATCCTAGCATTTTTTATAATTATGAACATATGGCAACAACTTAAGCATCCCACCATTTAAAAGTTATTAATATATTATGATATATGTCAGAATATTATACAGCAAAGTAAAATCATATTTAAAAACAATATTGAACAAAAAGAAATGCTTAAGATAAAATATTTATGCAGAATAATGGTAATAAACATGCCTAAAAGGAAAGAAATGCAGAATATTAACTTTGTAAAATTTCTGCAGTGAGCCAGTGTTACTTGTACAATGTGAAAAAAATATTTAGTTTAAGGTAGGGTTTAACAATGTTAGCCACATAACTAAGAAATATTTTGTTACAAATGCTAAAAGTAAATTCAAAATAATCAAAATATTTTAAAAGGAGAACAATCAGTTTGAAAAATTAGCCTGTCATGTAATATTTTTGGTTAAAGATGTTTATTATATTCAAAAAATGAGTTTTATTCACTGAGTTTGTATTATTAATTTTAAATTCCCCGTGAAATTTAATTAATGTTAAATGCTAAATAAATGTTTGTTCAGGCATCAAGTTTTAACAAAATTTAGTAATTAAAATATGAAACTAGGATGATGAGGGTACATGAATGTTAAGGTAAGTTTATGCTCTTTCCGTTGTATATCATGGAAGGTACTTCAAATATATTTCTTTAGGTTGAAGACTAAGTTACCTTCCAATTAATTTCTACCTTTTGAAAATGTGTATATAATAATGGTAGCCAAATTAAGCCAAATGTTCTTTAGTTATTTAGCATAATTCAGTGAAATTATGGTTGACATCACATGAACAACCACTCACGTGTGTAGCAGTTTCACTGTGTCAGCCGGTTTGGTGTGGGTTGTGATATGTTACGCAGCAGCCCAAGTTTAACCAGCAGAAATAAGTAGAGAAAAAATGATCAAGAAGAGACACAGGACTCATGTTGAATAGTAACTTATTTTCACATTACAGAATCTTCACGTGTCTATTTCTTGTCATTTGAAGAGGGTGAATTAAGACATTTTCATTTTCCAGGAGTGATCTCATTGCCATAATTTCTTCTAACAATACATCTGTTTACTTTTCAGCTGCGTCTTTGCTTTGCATTCAGGCAGATGAGCTCCAAGAAGCCCTCACCTCCCACTGTGTGGTCACTAGAGGAGAAACGATTATACGACCCAACACTGTGGAAAAAGCTACGGATGTCAGAGATGCCATGGCTAAAACTCTATATGGACGTCTCTTTAGTTGGATAGTCAATCGCATTAACAGTTTGCTCAAGTATGACTCATTGCCAAGGTAAAACTTTTTATAGAAATTTTTGCCCCAAATGTCAGAGATGTAAATCTATTTTCTAATTGATTAATTTGCATGAGTCCCTTTGAAAATGTTTCCGATTAATATAATTTAGTTACAAAGTTATAGTTCAGTGGATATGTTTCATTTCCTAATGGTACCTCTGCATTATGCCACATAACTGTAAAAATTTTAAATTGCTGCAACATTAAAACTGTGACAACATGAATAAATACAATAGAAAGTGAATTTTTTAAATGTCACCTCTTACTATCAATATGTTCTTTCAATTAGAAGTTGTACTGTTAAGCATATACCATTTTATACTTGTACAAAACGTCAATTCATCAATTCTTTGTTTTTGTTTTGAGGGTTTAAATTAAATCTTTAAGGTAAAGGAAAATTTTCTTTTCATATTTTAATTCTTGCTATAACCTTATAAGGGTAGATGTCATGATCTCCAGTGAAACTGGGTTCAGAAATGCACTAGATAATGGTAGATAAATAATAGGAAATGGTAGAGCCAGGATACGAGGATTAATGTTATCTGACTACAAATCTACAGACTTCCTGGTACCTCACCTTAGAAATAAAGACAATTGCAGCCACCATCGACTGAGTGCTCTCTATATACCAGGGATTGTGCATAGATACAAGTCCTTACGTTGCCATTTAAAGCTTTGTTCTGCCATAAATGATCTAATCATTAGAAATTTTCCATGTGGAAAAGCAAGATGGATGCCTCCCTTAATTAAGATCATCTCATTCACAACTGCTTACTAAGCATAAGGCTATTTTATACACGTTTCAAGTACACAATTAATCATCTTTTCACTAAAAGACATACCATACCATGATATTATCCAGTGAGACTAAGAGATTATCCATTATTCCTCCATAATCTTAACTCTCTGTCCCTCAAAATTGCTTTTCTACCTCCCTATAGCTTCCTACCGAACTGTACCCTATCGTGGCCAAGTCTGCAAACCACAGTCCAATTTTCCCCTCTGATTTAATGGTCAAAATGGTTTGGATGTTCATGTATGGCCATCTACATGATGTCAAGCATTCATATGAAAATGGAAATATTCAGGAATTGTTCATTATTTGTGTATTCCACATAATGTAAGCAAGGTATTTAGTGATTTGACCTCATTTTGTTAATTATCATCTGCATGTTTGACACTAAGTGGTACCCAGGAGGGTGACCTACTACTGAATATTTCACTATAGCCTGTTTGCTAAATGGTAGCTTTCCTTTCCATACACTAATGAAAACTATCCAAATTTTAGATTTTAATTGTTTACAGAAAGTTTAAAAGACAAAATCAAGACTGATTGAAATAGTTTAGTCTAGCTGACATTTCCAGATCACTTCCTTGCACAATACTAAGCATAACCTAGACTACCTAGATGATGAACACAAAGAGAAGCTTTTGTACTTTCCCTTTAAAATAATTAAGATCTTTTCAGTAAGATTTAAAAAATTATTCTCTTAAAAATGAAAGACTAAATAAACTCCCTAACAGAATTTGTGATTTTCTGGTACAGTTTGTATTGAATTTATTTTTGCTGTGTGCTGAGTGCTAGGCAGGTGGTTCCTGTGATTCCTGACTCACTCAGGGCTATGACTTTGTGCTTAAGGAAGAAAAAGATTCTTTCTTTTGTTTTAGTGTGTAAGAGCATAGGAGTGGTTTCTGCAGTACAAGGAAAATATTGTTCCATTTACTTATTAACACCAGTGTTTGCCTCCATTATCTTTATGTGCTACAGAGAGAAACTTGTTCAATTAAGAAAATCTCATTCTAAGTGTATGTCCTGGTAGCAGTTTCTAAGCTCAGTCACAAATGGGAACTTGAAGATTCCTTGATTTATATTACCTTTTCAGGAAATAAATAAGAACTCACAATAATGCCTCTCTAATTCTAGTGGGAATGGTGAGGAGCTGAGCATTGGCATTCTTGATATATTTGGCTTTGAAAATTTCAAAAAAAATTCCTTTGAGCAGCTGTGCATTAATATTGCAAATGAACAAATTCAGTATTATTTTAATCAACATGTGTTCGCATGGGAACAGGTAAGTCGAGGTACTTATTAATACTATAAAGATGCATGCATGTGTGTGTTATACAAGGAATTGTATAAATGAGGCAGGGCCTAAACTATAGATTTAAAGCCTTAAACATTTAAAAAAAACAAAGATTTTCTTTTCTCCATGTCCATAGTAAACTGAAACAAAAAAAATTAGTATATGAATTTAGTGTGACTTGATATGTGATGTCAAATGTCCTCCATTAAAAATTGGTACACTCTTCTCCAAAACTTAGCAAGTCTGAGCCCTTGCAAACAATGAAATTTCCTTTGCAAACTTAAGTAAACAATTGTATCCAACAGTTTCTCTTTCTGTAGACTGCATAGCTGAAATTCTGTTTGAAATTTCAATATCCATCTAAAACCCATTAAACTTCAGAATTCTGGTAGCTAGGCAACAGAACACAAGATAATGGATTTGATGCAAATGCCATGAAACGGTAATTTTGTCAGGGTACAATGTGTAATTTATGATTCAGCTTCAAAAAATATTCTTCCTTAGAGAAAAATCAGAAATGTACTTGAATAGCATTTAGCAAAACTGTAACATTATTTAAATTATTTTATGACGACTAAAAGAGTCATATTTAATATCATTCAGTATGTCATTTACCTCCTTCAAATAATAATACATTGTTTTGTCTTTATTGATTAGAACTGATGATTAATTAGAGGTATGCGCACTTCTTTTTATTCAAAATGTTTATGGTTATTGAGAATTTATTTTGAAATTGCATTTTGAAAATGGTGGTCACAAAAGAATACATTTAGATCTTGACATTTCTTAGGCCATAAAAGGACATAAATTTAAGATTTAATTTATATCTGTCCAGCTCTCTGTCACCTACCCCAGGATCTTGTTCCATGAAATGTTATTCCCTCTCTCTCTCCACCTCCCATCTTTTCTCCTCTGCCCTTCCATTGGTGCTCTTCCATAGCCTAGAAATATGAAGAAACCTCTTTAAAATCTTATAATAAAAACAAACAGGAAAAAAAACCCACAAGACTTTTCTCCACTCTGCTTATCTCTGTGGCTGTGGTGCTCTCTCTTCCCCTACAGCCAAGCTCCTTGAAAGCGTGTCCCACACTCACTGCATTGCATTGACTTAGTCCCCACCTGGGTACACTGAGGCCATAGCATCTGGCTCTGACATCTCCCTTTCTGCTGGAATGGTGCTTCCTAACCTCTTCCCTCAGTGGTGCATTTCTGCCTTTCTCACTAGGCTGCAAACTCCTTTAGGTCACATATTGTGTCTTAATTCTTTCTGTATTTTCAGAGGCTGACATATATAGCCAGTGCTCAATAAATATTAATTAAATTAATGCCATCTTGCTTCAATGCTTCACAATCTCACAGAACCCATTCAGGAACTGAAACAAGTCAGATTTCTTTGGTTTGGACTTTTGGTATGAGTCTATCGAGATTACCCACTGTATGGGACCACGTGCATCCGCACGTATTCCGTATCTGATTCATCAGTGACTTGCATTGGTAGACCTCTGTTGTTGTCTTAACCTTAAACCAATGTACAGATATTTCAATAATTATTACTTTCACTTTTTATAAAATGTTACAGTTCCCACATAATCAAGTCACTTACTATCAATCGAGTCTTGATTGATAGACTTGAATTCATCCATAATCCTGATGCTCTTGATTTTTTTGTCTACCAGGCCTTTTGAAATATCCTCTCAAAATAAAAGAACTCAAAATTTCCCCCCTATAAAATTAAAAATTCAACTAGAATCTAGGATGACACAAAGCACTTTGAGAAATCAAGGCCATTCCAATCCTTTAGGTGCCTTCCTAGGCTAACAGCTAGAAATCCCTACTTCATAATCTTATGGACCAGACATTGGTGGCTGAGTATGACCAGGTTGAGGAGTGTGTTATCCAGTAGATACAGGATTAGTCAGTGATTCTCTTGATTTTAACATGTGGGTGCACTTTTTGTTCTTTCACTCTGTCATGCCTCTGTGAAGACAGAAAATGTAACTAAGAAAAGGTAACTAACTGTATGTGTTAGCTATTACAGAGAGCACACTTACACTAATTCCTGTCAAAGAGAAATAGCTATTAAACCAAATCATTAATTAAAGTCATGGCCACACTTTGGTTGAATATAATCACAGATTTGATCTGAGAGCTCCTTAATTTAAGAGAGCCATTAATGCCTATGAGTAAGACGTAGTGTCTCACGTTCATGGAACATACAAATGCTCTGACCAAATCTCAGCAAGACACAAGCCTTGAGCAGCACTTTTACAGAGGAAATGCTTCTGCTCTTGCCCAAACCAGTGAACATTATCTTTATTGACAGTTCTACAACATTGGAACATAAATAACAGTCTACTGAAAGTGTTTCCTTATTTAGCCCAATTTCAGTTTAGTTGTAATATACAGTGGGACACTACAGCAAAGCAGGTTGCAAAGGTATTTTGAATTTCCCATTGCATTCCATTATAAAAAAATAACCAACAGACAACAGTAAAACGTTTTTAGTGAAAGAATGTATATGATGGTGACCTAATCTATAGCTTGCTGAGTGGGTAGTTTATGTTTCTTGGAATGGTTTCCTCCAAATAACCATTTGTATTACTTCTGAAACATTTTCCTAAATCCAAGAATCCCTGGCAGTCATGCCTCCTTTTTCCTCATAACTTACTTTTCTGTGCACCTTAATCGCATGCTTTGGAATCTCTGCACAACAACCCACAGCTTCCAGAACGTGTATCCCTTTCTTCTTCTCAATATCTGGATCCTTAGACTGCTAAGTGAGCTGGTCTATAAAAGCATTATTTTTTTTACTGTGTATAATATATAGCTCCTGAAAATTTTCTGGAGTTTGATATCTCATAGTTCTTGAAGATTTCTTACTTTATGAGCACTGGAAGAACAATTTTATGTATATTGATTTTAATAAAATTTAAAGGGACAATTTGTATCTGAAAACAACAGTTTGAAAATTAGATGATAATCTAGGTCCCCACCCTGCAGATAGAAGCTGATCAGCTGGAGAGTATAGTTGTAACCATTTTAAAATGTGAGATTCATTCAAACTCTTCTAAATGGGTTGCAGCTAAAAAGTATAAAATTTTCTCTCAATTTTATTAATTCCACAAACCTAGTTCTCATATGTTAGCCTTCCTTGTACATTTGTACAGCATCATTGTGATGCGCACTGTTGAATTCCATTTTATGAAAGGCTTTTAGTTAGTGGCTCAAAGAGCTGTTTTGCCATTTCCCATAGGGAGCCATCTTTTGCAATAGCCCTCACACTGAATTTCCATGGTAAATATTTAGGCAAGGTTTTGGGTTTGTTTGGCTTGTTCTTGTTTGTTTGTTTTCTGGTTTCCTTGCATTTGAAAGAGAGCTCAACAGTAATTAATCAAAGTGTGATATAAAGTTCGAAGTTCTCTGGAGTCTCATATCTCATATCAGAATCTCATCTCAGAAATGGACAACCTTTGCCAAAGGTATTCTTGGGCTGGTGCTATAGTGGCAGTTTCTGTCCTCTGATTAATTTGGCACTATGCTATAATCATTGTGGTACGGTACATACAAGAGAAATGATCCCACTCCCTAGAAATTTACATTTCCAACCCGGGGGAGCACACACCAACCATATATTGACCATTGCTTGGCATGTGCCTTTGTTCTTTAGGGCCACTGGACACCTAGAACATGCATGTGATTCTGCCAAACATTTTCTAGAATCCTGAATATTCACTTTAGTCACTTATATGCCTATTTTTTACTTTGGATAAGCTTTCTTCGTCCATTAGAACAGCTAATTAACTGGACTACAGTTCATTTTTAAAGTGAGCTGTTAATATTCGTTTCTGTGCAAGGATGGGCTTTTACATATATCATTTATATATGCACCCGCGGGGCTAGAACTGAACGTCAGAAGTCATTTCATAAGCAGGAAACTATTTACAGAACATAATGGAAGCAGTAACTGGCTCTGGCTGCTCTAGCAGAAAGTGATACATATGACTTTCACCTCCAGCTGTTCATATCCTAAAGTTTACAGCATTGGAGATTTTAAATGTGGGCTCCAACACTTAATTTGTGGCAATTACAAAGAATAAAAATTGATTTAATATATAATACCTACATTTTCAACTTTTTTTATATTAAAGGAAAAATAATCAGTCATCTGATTAAAATAATATGTGGGCAATTTAAAATAAATCCCTTATAAATTTCTCCAAATTACTCTGCTTAAAAGTGTGAATTCTTATTTTATATCCAACTTTCTTCCCAAGTAAGCCGTATATGTACGATGGTGGTAACATTTGTCTTATTTTAGCTCTCCAAGTGACAAAGGCCATTTATAGGCATTTTCTTTAAGCATTAAAATAGCCAAATATGTTTGGGAAGTCCTTGATGCAGCAAATCTTCCTTAAATGCCCAGCCAAGCCTTGGCTTGCTTGAGACCACATTTAAATAGTCAAACTTCTCACGTACACAGGCTGCTTCTCTTTCATGGATGAAGCTGGGTCAGCACCTTCAATGTGATGTGGGGATTTGTAACACTTATTTTGACAATTTGGTGATATCTTTAAATTTTTAAAAATTTTGATAAAATAATTTTCAACAAAACATACAGTTAGGAGCATAGCATATATATAATTGTGCTGTTGTTTTCTATAGTATGGTCTAATAAGGTTAGCACATACTGTTGACAAACTGCAATAAAATTTTCTGGTAAAGATTTAAACATGACAGTAGAAAGGGAATAGTTGAAGGTAAAAGTTATATAGAAAGCAGCATTTCTGAATTCCTAACCCAAATGCTTTCTTATTCTCAGCCAATACTTGTTAATAGAATACAAATTTGTAAAATTCTTGATGGCTCTTAAAGAATTTTCAGGAATGGATATCATGCACAAAAAGTGACTACATTGGAACTTTCATCTCAACATGCATTATGTGCCTTTTTCTTCTGAATAAGGAAGCTGCTCTAGAAAAAAACCATTC